TTGACAAGTCACTTTGCTTGAAAATCTTTCCATGCAAATTTCAACCCCCACGTTGGACATTTACGGGACGATTTTCGTAAAATCCTTTCTTGGCGCTCATCAAAAACAGTAATAGAAACTTTTACGCAAAATTTCAAACCTCTGGTTCCAGTGGTTAGGTATTATTAGATATTAAAGTATCGGGTATATTAATGGGAACAATTTGGATGTGCAAATCGCTATATCTCTGAAACTATGGCTCTTATGAAAAAAGTATGTATGGATATTTTATAGGCAATTTCATGATCTACAACTTCGTCCTAGTCAACTTTTTGATAAAGCTAACCATTCCGCTGAAATACGCGAAAAAGTAATTTTTACTACCTTTGACCTCGAATAAGTCAAAAATCGCACCCGTGCCCATGTCCAATAGTATACTAAAAAAATCGTTACAAGTTGTACAAACGTTATCTCTGAGGAAATAAGGCGCAATTGTGCGATAGCTGAGTTATCGCCAATTTTGAGGGCGACTCCATACAAATTTTCAGAGAAAACGTTCTAATTGCGCCAAAAACATCGATACAAGATAATTATTACGTTATAAGGTATGCATTTACTGATACAAAGCACATTCAAGCAAAAAAAAGAGACATTTCAAACATCAGATAAAGTTGTCTATGGAGCAACTGGGTACAGCCCAATGTGCGCCGCGGCCGACGCGGCGCGTGACGCCCGCCGATTAGAAATCACGGCTCGGCCACAGTCCACGCGGCCGTCTCTATTAGCCGTGATCGTTGCTTCGACAGAGTTAATCTATTTTATACTAAATCATGCTTCGCTTGTTTTACTGTTATCAAACATTTCTAAGACACGACATAACAGCAGCTTCATAATTTTTTTTTGTTTTTATGACATTTTTGTCCGACAATTGATAAAGGGTGGATCAAATTTCAAAAGACCACACAATTAAATAAAGTTTATTTGTAGATTTAATGATAAAATAAAACTAAAGATACAAGATAAAAAAGCAACAGACACTTAAACAACCAAGTTACTAAGGTTGTCAAAGTGACTCTTGAAGGACATATGAAATAGAAAAATCCGAGAGAAAAAAAACGAACGGAACGAGTATGAATGGCAAGCAGTTCCATTACGTCGATATAAATAATGTAAATGAATTGTGGAGGCACGCGAGCCGCGGCCTTGGCAATGAAATTCACGAGTTCAAAGGTACATAATGGAGGCATAAGCCATTCACTTGTTAAATAATAAACCATTGGAAATAATATTGAACATAAATGTACTGGTTTCATTAAGGTTAGTAAAATTATCTAGATAAAAAAGCTCAAGATTAACACGGACTCTAATAAACGTGTTACAATTAAGATTATCCAAAGAAGTCCATACGATTTTTTACAATTACCATAGGATTTGAATTTTAAATAATCTGTACACTTAAAACAAGATCAGATAGAAATCATGTTATATTATTTCCCGATGTGAAAACCTTAATTTCGCATTGTCACGGCTTGCGGACAGCACGGTGAGACGTGCGCGGCGGACCGCGGCGGCGGGGCCGGCGGTGGCAAAAAACCTCTCCTATTCACCGCCATAATAGACACTGGAGAAACTAACTGCGCTCTGGTGGATACGGAACGATACAAAATAAATAAAAAACAAAAATCTACAACTAACTAAGTTTCTTACAAAGTATATCAAGACTAATCAAAAACTACAGATTCATGTAATAAACTTTATAGAGAATTCTAGCATTTTGCATTGTATAGAAACGGCCTGCCCTATCTTCTCTTTCTTGTCCCAACGTTAGAGCATCATCTATCACTTAGTATGCATTTTGTACTTCCAACCCATGTAAATGCTTATGCTTATAAGAATCAGTAGTTTTTTTAAGTTAAAGTGGAGGTAACAAACCATTCTTCTTTCACATAGTTTTAATGATATATTAACGGAAATAATATAAACTATATCGACAGATCTGATAGATAAGACGAAAATTAATTCTCTTGAACACGTCTAGGTTTCATGAGATTCTCCAGAAAAATAGATTCATTAGGTATTTTGAAATCAAAGGTATGTGAGTTTAAAAATCTGATTCAAGCTAAAGTAATATTGGATACAAAAGAAAAACCGTGTAAACCTGTTGATTCGATTATACACAAAATTCCATAAGGTTGTCCCGGGTCAAAATGTTATCTAACTAATTCTTTAAGAAAGTTGCAAAAGTTATTTTAACTGGTAAGGTACTTATTGGACAGGTTTTAGATACAGAGCTGTTTTCAATTTATTCAAATTGTAAACCGTCGTGTCGTCGCCATTAAGTAGATAATTTCGTTAGAATTGTACCTTTCTTCGTATTGCTTCACACCGAAGTTTTATGTAGTGGAACCGATGCTTAAACGGAATTTGAGGATATTGTAATGCTCATAGATACAATATAAAATCTGGTATAAACGACTGTAGCGTGGGCAAATTCATTTACACGTTACAATCGATTAAGTTCGTACCGGCTGTGAATAGTAATGGTTTTTATTGCCTTGTTCATATGCCTTTTGATTGTCTTGGGAACTATACTGCCTCTATATGATCTTTTGTTACGAATCTTCTTTTATTGAACTAGAAAAAATATACACGAAAATATCTACAGTTTCCTCGAACCGAACGGTTTATAGCATTCAAGGGGAAAAATTTTTAATCGTTAAGTTTGAAATTTAACAATAAAAATTATATTAACATTAAAACAATATCTACAAAGCTTAGGTACGTAAAAAGACATCGTAATAAATAACTAAATTAACATATTAAGGACTATTTTTAACTTTGAATATCATCGCATTAAAATGTTAACAGTTGTTAATCAAGGTAGAACTAGCAAGCCGACAGTACAATGCAATTTGTAAAACTTATAAACAATTTAGGGAATCTTACTTTTATGTCAAATCTATTTGAAACAGTTGCATCAGTAGAAAACGACTATCCTGCAATACTTGAATTACAAAAGAACAATGACCCAGATCCGCTAAAGATAACTATCGAAGTGACGCATGTGTGGAATCGATAACAGTAGGTGTACACGCACGCACTTGCCTTATCGAACCGGCCAATATTTACACAAGCAACAGCAAAACGCGAAACGCGTCGCCCATCGGCGCCGCCAAAGGAACCCTTCGAAACCATCTTTCAATGTAAGAAAATAAAAAACCCTTCCTTATAGCAAACTATTCAGAGGGAACAGCTGCACTGCCGTGTGGCGGCAGATGCGTGCGCGCGCTCGGCACTGGGCCCAACCAGCGCTAGCAAAGCAAATTTTTCACCATGGAAAACTTACCCAAAGCACGAAGGTCGCGGAGAAAGCGGCAGCGCCGGCGCACTCACAAACAGCACACGTGCACGAACGCCGCGGCCGCGCACCTGTCGCGGACTGACTCTTCATTTCCATAACCGTTTGTATTTATGCACGGGCGAGGCGCGCGCGCAGACCGACATGCCGAGGCGGACTGACGGCCGCGGCGCGGTACCTGCGCTCACCTGTCCCCTCCCCCCCACCATCAGGAACCGGATGGTGCTCCAAAACAAAACGGTCAACAAAGGACGTGCCACGAATGTTCGCGCCGCCACCGATCGCATCCGAGAAGGGTCGCAGGGGGCTGGTCGCCGTCCGCCGCCGTCACCGGCTCGAGTGGGGACGTTTCTGATTACTCGCTCACACCTGACTCGCTCGGAACCGAACGACCCGATGATTTACGACCGCACGATAACGCCGATGTTGACTTCTCAATTGTTTCCGACGTCGATGATGCAATTTCTGATGACGAAGATGTTGCGAAAATTGGGAACGATGTGATACACAAACACAATGTGAATATTGAGTCAGACGGGGACGATTCGTCTCTAGCTGAATGTGCAAAATTGGAAAGGATGATTGCTCAACTAACGTCAGCGGAATACTCGCAAACAAACATGGGCGACGCCGTGCCGGTGCCACTGGCGAGCTTGTTTTGACGAAACGTTATTTGGCTACATTAATTTATAAATGACATCCTGTTTTGGTCGACCTGTACTAATGTAGCCGGTACCACTTATTACTATAATCAGTTTTAGTCAGTCTTTGATATGATTCATCGGACATCGGTCTTGCTGTGAACAGACAAAGGGTTATGGAGGTGTAACAAAAATAAACTATATTAGCAATCCAAATCTAATTGCTTTATAGTCAATCGTTTCACAAACACAAGTCACTGGGATGTTTTTAAATCTTAATTACTTAGTACATGCGAAGTTCGATTAATTCGATTAACAGAAGTCTATTCGATATCCGTAATTGGCAGCAAAGCTAATATTATCGAGCGCTGATAAATCTCGCTGCTGCCATCTAACCTTAGAAGCCTACCATTTAAGCACTACCGTCAATTCAATTAGAAATTCACAAGTATTAAGTATAAAAGCTATTCGCATTCATGTAAAACTAACAAAACCATTTTAAATACATAAAAAAGCTATATGCTTAGGGTCTTCCTTAAACTACTCTATCAGCGGTAATTCTAACTCCAAATGTAACTGAATTTCTACATTCAAATTATTATTTTTTTATATATAGAACAGAATTATTTTTTTAAAACAGTGTGAAATAAACAGTACAAGTGTGAATATAAGAAACCTGTCGAACACTTCGTCGTGTCTGATAACGCGAGTAGCGTTGCGCCTGCGCAGCCAATAGTGATGGTCTGATATATCGATAAACGATTTTAATTACGTTCCAAATGTTTAAAAAGGTACATGCAGTTATATTGTATTCAATAATTATTGAATGATAATTATTTGTAATATAATCTATATCTATACTAATATTATAAAGAGGAAAGGTTTGTATTTTTGTATGAATTATAATAACTCAAGAATTACTATGTTATCGCTGAGTAACATAGGCTATATTTAACTGTCCTTTTTAACGCAAGCGAAGTCACAAGCAACAGCTTGTAAGATATATATTTCCTAGGTAATTTATATTTACTCAATAAAATTACAGAAGCTGTATTTAAGTGAGGTATTACAAAAATTAATACAAACATGTTGCAATTTATTTTAATCTGTACAAATTCAACATGTAACTCGTTACCACCCTGTAGCATACAGTTTTGATATTTTAAAATCAAATTATCGACTTAAATTTTACTTGATATTTAAGTACGTAACGGAATCATTTCGACTGTGACGAACGGTGTACAATATAAAACCACCGTTAACTTATAAAAACGTATCGAGCTAAGATAATGAAAACAGAGAAGGTAACAACAAAGGAAGTAGAATAAATTAACTATAACTTTATTGTTATATTTTTATATAACTTTACACAGACAATATAGAAATAAAGTAACAAAAAGTACTGGCTGGAATAAAAAAGATTAGAGTAGAGAAAGAAAAAAAAACTTGAATACAGTTGGGTGTCACTAAAACGCCGCGTCACGGTATGGCGCCGCACGATAACACTCGCCTGAGCTAAAATTGAAATTTCAATGCGTTTCCAACACCAATTTTCTTTTTATAACTTCACATTTATAACAATAATGTACTTACTTAGATATATTAAGAGAAACAGGAGCGCTAGAGATAGTTATTTAGCCTTTTCAGATCTTTAACAAAGTAAGAAAGAACACGTGTTGGATGAAATGATTTGAACAGTTATCTTTAAATACAGATTAAAAAGATTGTTTGTCATTTATTTTGAGTATTTAGGTATAAACATGTTTCCCTAAAAATGTATTTATAACTGTAAAGAACATTTAAAAGTACGAATATTTAACTATCTGTTTGTTTGTAACTTTACACAAACTCGATGTAATTTATACTACCGTACCATAAATTATAATAAAAAAAAAACTAAAAGGATCTTCAAACGTCGTTAAATGCAAAATGAACGCGCATATCCGTCAATGAGCGACTTCATCGAACAAATAATTGCTAAGATAATCAGTTTCGTAGGAAATGCTCTCTACTAATCAGTTAAACCTATAACACATACAATACAGAAGCGAGGCGAATGCGAAATATTCGCTTCATATTCTCAGAATCTATCTGAAAGAAGAATATTATCAAGTTTTATCAACATGTATAATTTTTTATCATAACGAATTGACAGTGTTTTGTTTCTCTTAGCTTTCAGTTCGCTTTGTAGTGTGCTTGAGGGTTAAAACGTTAGCAGTAAGGAAACCTCATCAGTGCCCGCCAGCCGGGCCGCTGGCTATATCCGCACCGAGCTGTAAAAACTCGACACCACCTTCGTTACGTCTTCAATTTGTTTATCTTTCCATAAAATGAATGAACTTATCCTGGTTATGTTTTTAAAATTAATTTGTATAATTCGTCTGAACTCTTTCGATTCCTGCAGCTTAGGTGAAGTTGCAGGAATCGAAAGAGTTCTAAAATTTTTGCAAGGGTTTGGAATGTGTGTTTGACTCAAGACTGTCAGTTATAACAGAGCTTTTGTAGCGGACTAAACTGTCGAGTGCAACGAGAAAACTATATCTTGCAGCGACAAAGTGGTTAGTTGAAGAATTATTCGCTAAATAAATCTCGCCGGTCGACAGCAACTGGGTCAAGTCAATTTTTCCCCCGAGTACCGTTTCCTCTTGTATTAAGTTTGCCGTTAGATGTCGCGAGTTGTCGTTGACAATTACTGCAGATGTCTATTTTCATTGTAAGTGGACTAAATAAAACAATTAATAAACATTATATAATAAACCACCTAAACCTCATGAAAACTTGTTTTTTTTTAATAGGAAAAGTGGGCAAACGAGCAACGGGTCGCTTCAAATTAATTGATCCGAAGTCCATGAACATCCGCAATGCCAAGCGTAGAGCAGATGCGCTGCCGGACTTTAAGGGAGGAGTACGCTCTTTTCTTTTTTTTTTTTTTATTTATAACACAAGGTGGCAAACGAGCAAGCGGCCACCTGAAACCGCCAAAATGGCGAAGCGACCGCTGCCCATAGACATCCGCAATTGCAGATGCGTTGCCTACCCTTATACGACGGAGGAGGAGACGCACATAAAGAGAATATTTCCCCTTCCTATGCATCTCCTCCACCGTCAAATCCACTTCCTCTTCCCAACCTCTCCTTAAAAGAAAAGGGTGGTAAAGAGAAAGGGACTTAAATTAGGCCTCCGGCACCACACTCATCAGGCGAAACACGGAATTGCTTCCATTTTACGCCTGTCTTCTGTGTGGTCGTGGTATTACACCGGGCGTGCCGGCCCATTCGTGCTAAGATGTTAAAGCGGGCACTACCACTGTCAAGGCTTCTTTTTTCAAGGCAGTTACTTAGGGGCCTTCAAGACTTCTTGAAGGCCCCTAAGTAACTGCTTGGAAATACCGCAAAGGACAGAGTAATTGTGACTTGAAAAATTGTTTGACTTACGAATTGAGAAAAATTAACCATAAAAATTCCCACAAATTGCCAGGTTCAATTAGAAATGAATTATGGATCACGTAGAGTCGTTAATTGGTCACTAAGTGGGATTCTTAACAAAGATTACTTTACGACTATGAGTCGCAATCTCTTGTTCAGTGTAATCAAATTAATATACTACTTTACGCCTTCATATTTTCTAAACACTGACTAATATATCACTTACTCTATGATTTATGTTTGAATTGTAAGTAATGGTAATCGAGTCCAACTTACCATAGACCTAAAGCTCGGGGCGGAGCTCTACATGGGAGAGAATATGAATATTTATGGTTAGTACCGTTCTAAACAATACTGCACATTTTTAGTACATCCTTATACATTTTCATCGCTTATATATCCTTTAAGATTTAGCAAAATATGAAAAATATACCTTAAATTGTATAATCATACTAATATTATAAATGCGAAATTTTTGATGGATGGATGTTTGTTAGAGTTTGTAGCATAAACGGCTGAACGGATTTCGATGAAATTTGGTATAGATGTAGAGGATAGTCTGGAAGAACACATAGGCTACTCACTTTAGTTTTTTTTAAATTCCACGCGGACGGAGTCGCGGGCGAAAGCTAGTGCTAAACATAAATGAGATGTATGGAAAACATTAAAAAAAATCACTTTTTTAAAATTTCCTTTATAAGAATCTTAAATTTATTACAAAAAATATATAATTTCGCCAAACTGCCAAAGCAGTTTATTGGCCAAACCTGCACCCATAAACTAAATACTTTTACTAATACATAAACTATGAACTTATTTCTATAACCCAATACCTAATCCGTTGATTTCAAAAAAATATTAAATCGATATTAACGGCAAAACTGTTGCATTTTTTTTTGCATTTATATCACAAAATAATTCACAACTTCACATTAAAACATTGATGTATGAGTCCAGCTTATTCAACTGTGCTGATATCATTTTAACAAGATGGCGGGATGTTTCAACTATTTGATAATGATAGATGTAGTGCAATTAATCCAAGCATTAGACTGAAGTAGATTACGAATTGTTAGCGTCTATTTTCAAATCTCTCAGGTCATTGACCATCTCGTTGTGTTTT